TTTACCAAGAATTCATGTCCACAACTCTCCCTATCGGTAAACAAACATCACGTCAGCATGTTTGATTTCAAATCAATTTCTGCTTGAGCACGTGATTGTTTTTAGCGCCTCAACTGAGTTATCATGAGCACATAAAGTTTTGATTAGTTCGGAACTGGCGATGTCTGCAGCCACACCCACGCCTAACCTCAATTTGTTGTTAGAAATATTTTCGCAAATTCTAAGTAGCCGTTAATCGTTAGCCCAATGTAACTGAAAATGTAAAATCGCTCGTACGGAAATATGCGAATCATTCATTCAAGAGACGCCCATTAATAAATACCACAATGCTGTCGTCGAGTCGTCGAACCGGTAGAACAACCCTAGATTGAAATTGAGTTTGAAGTTTTGTTAGGCCAACTACCCGACTGTGTATTATTTACGTACTAAACAATGCGGCTTCGTTCAGCATACACGACGACACAGTCATTTGTTCGCTCATTCATGTTTTCATGGCATTCGGTCAGTTTGTCAATCATTTTGACTGGCTTGTGTATCTTAAAGTCCAATGAAAATGTTTAATAACGTCATTGGCATGTGCGCCAAATGGCGGCAACAAAACTAACAAGTACTACAACAATTATCTTCAATTATTTACAATTATTTAATAAAACGTAAAGCTACAACAACAGCAGTAAACCTCGTTACAATTTCTTACATGACTACGCCACTTGTAGGCAATTTTTGTCGTTGTCTTGCTTAACAATTTTCTTTTGCATTGCGCAAACAAAATAATATCAGCACTAGGCGAAACATTATCTACAAGTATATATAGTATACATACATGTGTATATGCCTGATAGCAGGCTTTAGAGTATGTATAAACATTTAGCCAACGGAATTTTTTTTTTAGTGAAGCATATTCGACACCCCAATTGTAAATATAACTCGATATATATAATTTCGCAACCTAGGCAGTATAAATGCAAACAAAAACTGCAAACACATAGAAATGTGCATACATGTACAATATAAATCGACAAATATAAGTACATAAGTACATCGCATCAATTTCCAAAGCAAAGTCGCGTCAGTTAGGCTAAATGATAAATATAAATGAAAATAAATAAACATAAGAAATGCGCTCAAATTTATAAATAATAATGGTGATGATAAAATTGCTGCAGTAAATTGAGACAAGTGGCGACTTCTCTGCTATTCTTTGGCCCGGCTGCTCAATTAACAAAAACATTTTTAAAATAAAAGAAATATCTAAAAAGCTAGCTTCAGCTGCATTGAAGCTATATACACCCTTTTCTGTGTTGTGCCTGATAAGAGGAGAAGAATAATCTCCACAAACAGTAAAGTTATTTCTAAAAAACTTTATCGTGAGCAAATATTCAGGCTAGTTTGATCAATTCATGTGGAAACAGAATTGTTAAGCTGACATTTTATTCCAAAATTATTGTCCTGAAGCTGTTTTATCGAATAACTCAATTATTGTTCGCAATTTCGAAAATATACGAATTTTCAACGAAACATACTCACATATGAGATCTGAAAAATTAAAAGTGGGAAGTGTTTCTCCTTATATTATAATTATAATTGAAAGTTGATGTTTCTCCTTATATGCCATTAAGTATTAATTAAAAAAGGGTCTCGAAATTTACTGGGAATTCTTTTGTGTTCATTTAAAATTAGTTAATATAGTGTTACTTTTGATATAGTATTATTGTTCAATAAACGTAAATATATTATGACAACTTTGTTGTATCGTAAGTATTAAGTAAGTTTATAATCCCTGCATGTTTCCCAACCGTGCATGCCCTTTTAGCTCAATTGAAGGGTATAAAGAAGAAAAAGTTGCTCTCCGTTGTCGGGTAGACGGGGCGTATGCGCAACGTCTAGAGCGTTGTCGTCTCCAGCTGTGTGAGAAATGCTTTAAATATTGCCACAAAAACACGCGGGACTGGCCTCGCGATTAGGTCACTAGCAACTATACACACAAACATATACACACACACACACAACCACATTTATTGTATTTAAGAAAATTCCATTCAATTCACTTATTGTGACGCGCCATATGTCCGTTTGAATACTATTAATAAAAAATTGAACTTTTTTAAAAGCAACACACTTTATGCGAATTAAAGCGCAGACGTTGAAAAATGTTAAAATATTTATTTGTTGCGCCCCACCTCCTTAAGGCTTAAACTGGCTTAGACGCGGCTTACATCATTAGGGTTTTAATGAACCAAGCTGCTTAAATTCGTGCCCAGATTTTTTAAAGAGTAGCTGCTCTGGCTTAAGCGCTAAATTTCTGACCGGTGAGCATCTACAAATTTTAATCTTTTGCTGAATAAATTAAAAATTTTGCTGATTATGCATTAATCAAGTCAACTTTGCTTCTTCGTATACTTTTTTTTGGGGAAATTTTAGAAAATTAAATTCAACGATTAGAGCTAAATATCTGTAATAGAAGTGAATATTTTCAAATCCTATCACTTAAATATCACATTTCTAACTGAAACTTAAATAAATGTGCCATGCATATTAAGGCAGGAAATTTATATATAAGCTTCACTTATATACTATACTTGCTACGTTGTTTTTATTTATAAGGTGAATAAGAGGCTTGTCAGATAACTAAAATATATCTGACAAACTATACAAGTAGACGTAAAGCAAAACTAAGTAGCTCAACCATTGCAAGATCTGTTGCTCCGTAAGTCATCTTAAATCACTTACATCGACATCAGCTAATGGAATCGATATGATTTAAGAATCTTTTGTAAAACTAATTTTTTGTTTATTGTCGCACCTAACGATATTGCAACATTGGCTTTGGTTTAAATAACGATCAACTATTAGAAATTAAAGACTTACCTTTCGATTAATACACAAAAACTTCTTATCTTTGACTCAAGTTAACGTAACATTTAAAATTGATAAATGCACTTTAAATGTTCTAGTTTGAGTTCCCAGCTGCTTAAGTACACAACTATGATTATCAATAAGTAGCTAATTAGATTAGTAATTTCTAAATAGTTCCTGCATTCAGAAACATGCAACAAGCATTGTCAACCTGTGAAAACTACACCTACAGCTCAATTACATACATAAATATATCTCACTTTGTATTTGTGAAATGGAAAAACATGCCCAGTTCAAAGCCAATTTCGATAGAAAGACAATAACAATTGCATCACGAACAGTGGAAGTATCAAAACAATGTTGCTGTCGTCAAAGTTCTGCTCTAATACAAAATAACAATAGCAATAACTTGTTGCTGTCATATTGTGATGTGAGAAATTGTGCACAAGTATTTGTCATCTGGTTATAATAATATGTATTTTATAGGTATAGATATATATTTGTTTAGTTATGTGTCAGAGCACGCCGGCAATAATTCAGAACTTGACGTTTCGTCGCCATACAAATAGTGTTAGAACAATGTTTGTTGCGAAGTGTTTAAAAAAAAAAGGGAAACAGCTCTTTAATGCTTAGTTATGTTATTCAGAGAATCTTCTGGAAGATGCAGGTTTAATTACTAAATTAAACACAATTCGTTGTGAGATAATAATGATGATACTCTCAATTGTACTTAAAATTTAAAGTACGATTGGATTAGACTATAAAATTCTGTACTGGTATTAATAACCAAATAGATTTCAATAAGAAGTAGTAGTTAATATTTAAGTGTAAAGGGGACGCGAGGTATGAAATCTTGCTCGGATGATATAGTATATGTGGAAATTTAGTATTCCTATTTATTGTTTCGCTTACACAAGATACACTTTGGAGTTGTTAGAACACAAAGATAGACGTTCTTGTTTGCATGGAAGTATTACTCTAAACAATGAAGTTGGCTGCACTCCATATATTTCCGTTGGCTTGGGCTGCCACTCAATTTTAGCCATAAGCTAAGGCTGCCACTTGAATCCAGCCGTTAGCCAGAGCTGCCACATCTATCTTCATTCAGTGTCCTTTATCTTCATTACTTTGCATTAGGCGTTATAGATAGGAAAGGCACCAAATAATACGGGCCGTTTGTTTCTAGGGAATTGGTTCATCCACTTATTTATATATTTTTAATATCCTATACCCAAAAGTGCTCATTTTTGTTCATACTATGACGATTGTCAATTGCTTTTTGAAAATTATAACAGCTTCAATTAATTATCTAGGTATAAAAATTCAAAAATGTTTGGTAAAACAAAAAACAAGTTTATATATTGCCGATGCATTCTCAGTCTACATTTAAAAATCTAGCCAATTCGTATTTTACTGTAAAATATGAGCAATTTTATTTTTAGTGCTCCTTTTAATTCTAATTAGCTGGCCCATAAATAGTTCGTTTCAAGCTCTCTCGAACTCTGAAGTACAGGCAATAATTCAATTATTGACTGCAGGACAAGCGCCATGCACGACCACCAACAGACAATCATTAACAAATGGTGCAACGTTTTGTTGTTGCAATAATTAGATCAGGTGGCATTGCAAGCGCCCCTTTTATGTTGCATCCATGTGGCATAAGCCACATTAGCTTCTAATTGTGTTGACCAGACCAGCCCAGAGTCAAGCAAAAAGCATATATTATTTTGCCCGCGCGCCTATATTGAGTTTCAAAGCAAAGTGCAGCTTTCAGACAGAGCTCGCCTAATTACATATTTATAAACAAGCATACATAGATCTGGATATTTGTATGTTTGTACGAATAGCTATATATGTATTTCCGACGCCTGGTATGACTGCATGGCTGCAACTTGAACAAATTGTCGCGTCATTGTGTTATATTTAGATAAGTGGTTGGTGAATAATAATGATTTCGATTTCAATGCGGCATTGAATTAGGCAAATATTGAACTCAGCGGTGAGGTTTGACATTATTTTAAGCACAATTTATAGTAGCTTAGAGATTAATGATACCTAACGTTTAAATATTAGCTTTTGCATAATGCGTTTCGATCTCTCTCTTTCTCTTTCTCTCTTTTAATAATCTGCTCCGTTGTTATTAGCCTTCTAAACCGAACTCAACAGGCGGCACAGCGTTCATAGAAATCGTGCCTTTTTACACCGGATGTTGGCGTAGAAAAGAGGTACATACATTCAAACCTTTATACACACATACTTACATATGTGCTTATTATTGTTTACAATTTCTATGCTTGGGCCAATACCTTCTCCTCCTAATGTCATGATCATGTGTGGTGCCTTATTTACACGCCCGCACGCCTCCGCCCACGATTGTCGATTTATTTTGGGCTTAGCCTTTAGCCACTTATTGGTTCGGTGCTCTTTTCTTTGCCATTTTGTTCGAGTTCGTTATTTATGTTTATTTTTTCTTCAGCGCCTGAAGACCTGCGTGGGCTTTTTGGCTTAAAACCGGCTTTGATTTTAATATTTGCTCATGTGGCCGCTTCTTTGGCTTTTATTTTTGTTTTTGCATTTCACGCTTACTCTTTTCCACATATTGATTTCATTGAATTTTGCTGAGGCTTTGGTTTTGCTAAATATATTGATTGGTAGAATGTGTCAGGCGCACTGTTCAGACAACCATATCCATATACGAGTACTCGTTCATAGTACATACAGTATTGTTTGTCATTATCATGCATTTCTCAAAAATATGTCTTGGCATTGACCTCTTGCTGGCTCATGCCTATGCAACACATACGCACACACTTTATTGCTGTGTACTGGGCTGAGTATTGCATTTCATTTGTGTGGCAATTTCATAATTTACAAAACACATTACGAGTACATGTATTCCAAAATAGGGAAAGAGCACCTGAGCGCATAGGCAACACTTTTGATGCACTTCAGTTGCTTTAAAAGCGACTTTATAATATAAAACCATTGACTTGTGCGTCCATTTTACGACACGTGCTCCGCTTGACCTCCCAATAAGCTATTTTAAATTTACTTTTATAACATTATATACAACTTAAAACGAAAAAATGTTTGTGTGTTAATTTTGAAGTGCAATGAGCAAACAGTTTGACGCTCAAAAATACTTGTACAAAAAAGGCATTTCAGATGTCTTCGCCACCGAATTAAATATTTAATTTCATTTATACAGAATAATATTTCAACCCACTTCCAATACATTCGATTGTCTTAAAAATTAATTAAATTTGTTCACATGCACTTTTCAATGTTTTTTTTTAATTGAAACCATTTTAGTAGAGTAGTGGGAGTATTTTTTGACTCAAAATTAATTTAAATACACATTAATTTTTGTTATTGTGCAATGATACATTTTTTATATATATATATATTGCATATATTTATTTTTGTATGTATATGTATTTGAACCACAAATATGAATTTTTGTTTGCACTTTTACAAATATGCGCTTTCTATTTGTTTTATACGAAAATGTCTGCTTTTAATTGACTTTTAAACAATATTTTTCTTGTTATTTATTTAAACATGGTTTATAAATATTTTTGCAAATTTGATTTGAAAGCACAGCCCTTTGTTTATTTTCTGTTCAGAAACTGGTGCCAGGAAAATATAATTTAAAAAAGTTGTTTAAGTCTCTAAATAATTTATTTGCAAAACTATTAATAATAATGAAAATCAATGGAATACTCAACATGAAAAAATATTAAAACAAACTGCATTATTTTAATAAAGACTCGTCAAGACACATTTATAGATATTATCTTATTTTTTTATTATCTTTATATTTGATCTAGAAATTTTAGTTTTACTATACTTCTAAGCACTTGATCATATATGCTGAAGTTTTCCAAAGACTTTTCATTTTGTTCCATTGAAATCATTTTTTAGACGTACATACTATATAATATGTTGCAGAGTTTTTTCATTGTTTTTTTACTAAGTGATTCGTCTTATCGATTGGTTTGGTAGTATTATTACTTTCCAATCCATTTATCCATTACTTCGAATCGCGCCATCCTATGCAATTATTAAGTATAATAGTGGAATGGCAATACATATCTTTTTAATGCCTCCACCATTAAGAGTGTAATCGCTTGTTTTATGGCGTTTCGATTTGGTTTTCTTTTTTTGCTAATATTTTTCAATGCGAATACCACACAAACAAATTGGCGCAATGGTTTACAGTTTTTAATTGGAAATTAAATTGAAACTCAATACATGTTTATACATCAACAGCGGGCAGTTCGAGTTGCTTGAAACCGCTGAAAACTTGTACATTTATTCTTTAAACCAGCATCAATTAGTAACTTATTCTCGAAAACGTGTCTTACAGGCGAACAAACACGGTCAGGCTGCCATGACGACAGCGGGAGCCGAACGAGTGCCACCCATTGGTGGGTATCAGTGGCCCCCCGATCAGACACCTGGTGTCATGGGGCTAAAGAACCACGGCAATACTTGCTTCATGAATGCGGTGCTCCAGTGTCTCAGTCACACGGACATACTGGCCGAGTATTTTGTGTTGGATCAATACAAGGTATGTAGTATTTGAAGTAGGCAGCCATATGAAGTAGCCCCGTAAACTTGAATTCTTTTTATTGCAGGCTGACTTGAAGCGTCGGAACAAAATCAATTCACGTAAATTCGGAACCAAGGGCGAGTTGACCGAGCAGCTGGCTAACGTCCTGAAGGCGCTGTGGACCTGTAAAAACGAGAGCGATCACAGCACTAGCTTTAAGGCTGTCGTCGACCGATACGGCACACAATTCCGCAGCTCCACGCAGCACGATGCCCAGGAGTTTCTCTTCTGGCTGTTGGACAAGGTGCACGAGGATCTAAACACGGCGAGTAAGCGACGCTACAAGAGCATTAAGGTAGGTAGTTTTAAATTTTAACCTACCGCACAATGAATTAGTTGTATACGACTTTTAAATGTATCTTATTAATTGTTGCCCCATATTGCAGAACTCCTATGGCCGCTCCGATGAGATAATTGCCGCCGAGACGCTGGCCAATCACATACGGTGCAACAACTCATTTGTACAGGCCGTGTTCCAGGCACAATTTCGCTCCTCACTCACCTGTCCGCGCTGCAAGAAGCAGTCGAACACCTTCGATCCTTTCCACTGCATTTCTGTGCAGCTGCCGCAGCTATCGCAACAAACGATCTTTGTGACTGTCGTCTATGCGGCCAGCCGCTCGTCGCAAAAGCCGCGCCAGCTAAAAATGGGTCTGCGTGTTCCCGCCGGCTCTCCTATTGTTGCCCTGCGGGAACAACTGCAAACGGACACGGGCATTGCTGCTGGTCGCATGGTGCTGGTCGATTTGAATGCCGAAGGTTTCACTCGCGTGTTCTACGATTCACAACCGGTGGAGACGTTGAGCAGCATTGAGAATATTTACTGTATTGAGGTGCCAGAGCCAAGCAAAGGCACGGAAGCCAACACTAAAACGATGTCCATCCCGCCAAAGGCTACGCCACTGACATCAAAAGAAGGGACTGAGAAGTCTGTAGCACCGCCCACGACCATACCAGCTCCGGCTCCGGCTCATTCAGCAGATCTTTTGCTGCTGGTGGCCAATGTGCATAGACATAAAAAGAGTGTGGAAGATATTGGCAAAGATACTCCCAAAACAATGCCCGAAAGTTGCGAACGTTTTGGTGCACCATTCAGCATGAAGGCGCCCCGGGATTGCTCATACACGGACCTGCAGAAACGGATGCTGCGCGAAATGTCTGCGCTGCTGAAGCCGGAGGTGTTTGCCTATACGACACCACTAACGGACATGTTCAAGATTCGCCTGCAGGATCCATCTGCCGATCCGGACACGTATTTGGAGCAAGTCGAGCATCCACTACTCACCGAAATGATTGACATGGCCCTGTCCGTGCTCTCAACGGAGGCTGGGCCGCAGCACATTAAAGTGCTGCTGGAATGGAGCATGCCCGAGGCCTACTTTGCAGACATGCAGCAGCTGGAGGATGTTGTTGTGGAGCACGAGAGTGTGGCCCGCTTAAATGCCAGTAAATTCAACAACAGCGCCGCTTTAACGCTGGAACAATGTTTGGAACATTATACAAAGGCCGAAACGCTCAGTGCTGAGGATGCGTGGCGTTGTCCGCATTGCCAACAGTATTTGCCGGTGGTGAAGACGCTCGGACTGTGGTCTTTGCCTGACATATTGGTTGTGCACTTCAAGCGTTTCCGCCAGCATCAGGTGAAGGGTCCTCAGGCGGCCAAGCTGACAACGATGGTGAAATTTCCTTTGAACGCCTTTGATATGTCGCCTCATTTGGCGCGCGGCGTCAATGAAAGCAACAGCTCAATGGCGCTAGATCCGTTGTCAGCTTCATCAAACTATCGCGCCAATCCCTGGAAGAAGACGCGATCTAACGACTCACGCTCCTCTACTCTTAACTCGCGGGGCGAGCAGAAGGACACCCGCTACGACTTGTATGCCGTTTGCTATCATCAAGGAGACACCCTAGAGACCGGACATTATACGGCAGCCTGCAAGAATCCCTACGATCGCCAATGGTACAAATTCGATGATCAACGCGTCAGCAAAGTTCCCGAGGATGCCATCGAGGAGGAGATCATCAACAATGAGGCCTACATGCTGTTCTATCAGCGACGTAGCGTCGATGCAGGTGAATGCTCAGGCTCCAGTTCCAACTCTGGTGATCATTGGGTTTCGCGCATCGCACCAACACCCGCGAGCAAGGACAATAAGGACGTGATTAAGCTAGAGGCGACCAACGGCAATAGCGAATCGGTTGAGCCAGTCGCATTGCTACCCGAGAAGGCTCAATCAAAGCCAGTGGCGATTCCCAAAGTTGGTTGTGAGATCGATGAAGGTAAGCTACAATTTTACAGAATTTCGGCTTCAATATATAATAATCAATTGCCTCTTATAGTTACAAATGCTGTTGAAGCTGCAGTTATGGAAATACCTGAGCCGCCGGCCACCAAGACTCATGAGCTGCTCAACATTGAGGAAATAGCATTTGCAGATGCCGATGGTGATGCTAGCGAGCGTGATGGCCACGAGGATGTGAAAATCAAAGCAGAGATTAGCGCGGAAACAGCATTGCCGGAGAACACTGCCGTTGTAGCTGCTATCGATGATTGTGCCCAAATATTTGCCATGGACGAGGACTGCACAGAGATCAATGAACTGCCACTGACTGCGAACGAGCGCAGCTCACCAACAAAGCTGATAGTGGAGCCCAATACTCAGAGCGTTAGTGATCCAGTGATCGAGAGCCTTACCAATGGACATGCCGCTTCGCCCACGCTTTCAGCCTCCACATCGTCATCGTCCAGCACGTCGTTGTCCTCGCGCTCCTCACCGCGTTCATTGAGCACCTCAGTGCATGCTGCCTCAACGTTGCAAACGAAATTCAATGGTCATATGAGTTCGGCATCAGTTGCTGCTTCTGTAATGCTCAACGGCAATGGCAACAACAGTTCGCATGCCAATGCCGCCACACAGCAGCTGTCGTCCAGTTTAAAAAGTTATTGTGGCGGGGCCGGCGGCCACGAATTACAATTGTCACGCCATGCGCTGCACAACCACAACCATTGCAATCACAACTATAATAACTGGCATGGATCACGTTCCAGTGTATCGGCTGTGGAGAACTCCACGGCACACACTCAACATCAGGCCACAGCGGCCAGTCTTAGCTTGCGGCATTCCTTCTCCACCAGCTCAAATTACAAATTGCGCGAATGCAGCGAGACATTGTGCTCGCTTCTCCGAAACTCGGCCAACACATGCAGCAAAGATACGCTGCTCTTTATTGACCAACAAAGCCATCATCATCGTGGTGCGGCGGGTTTATTGGAGGACGATGATGACACATATATGGGCCGTTCTTTATGGGTAAGTCAGAAGCCTACATTTGGTTGGAAAATATTTAACTATATTTTGTCTATATTCGCAGATATCGCCCGTAACGCCTCACAAACTCATAACTGTTTCACCGAAGAATTAGATTTCGACAACGTTACGATATTTTAGCTTCTAGGCAGACACAACTGGGCCCCCTATGGATGGGGGCTGTGCATATGTCTGATATATGAAAAAATGCGCATGTGTGAATTGCAGAGCATAGACACAAAACGCACTATAGTCATAAGTGAAAAGTTTACTTTATATATACATATATATATATATATATATATGTGTACAATTTCTTATATATACATACATATATATATATATATAATCTGTACCGATGTTGATTATGATGAAGATGGTGATGTTATACAGCAACGTTTACTTTAAAGTGTCAGTTCAGTTTCTAAAAGCGCGTCTTATGCAAATTGTGCATATTTGCGAAACTACACAAACATTTATAAACAGATATACAATTAATAATTTGTATATACTTACATACATACCTTTAAGTATAAACATATATGCTAGTGGCAATATTGCATTAAGTTCAAAGTTGATAAATGTTTCAAATTCGTATTTAAGTCTATTTATTGATGCCAACTGATGGCGTCTTGCCATCCGTTGGTCCATCTAACAATTAATACTACGAATGTGCACAACTAAGAATGGTGCTCCAAAAGAAGAGCCAACGATTTAAACGATTGACATTACATTATTTTTACAAATACCTACGTATTTATTTATTCAGTAGAGAGTACAAGATGATTAAATTTGATTTTTCAAACAAAATGATATATAGATATGTATACAAAAATACCTATAGTTGTATTTTTTAACGCAAAAGTGCAAGGCATATGTTTGGGTTTAAACACGAAACCAAGTTTCTAACTACACAATACTATAAATGTATTTTCATTTCAACTAAAATTTATATCCGAGCATTGCCCATTTTTAAAACTTTTACATTTACACAAACACACACACACACAACTCCCTCCCAATTAACTTTGTTCATAAATATTCAAAGAGTTGTATCCAGCCAAGTAAAAGGTGGTAAGTTTTAAAATACAATGTGTAAATTATATATAAAAAAGCATTAAACCAAACCATATTGATAAAAAAATGTTTAAAGACTCTTGAAACATTGTTTACATAAAGTACATGTACTTTATATATACATACATATATATACTATACATACACACACATAAATACGTATAACTATGTAAAAATCATCGATGAGGCGAGTATGTTCATTGTATTCATGAATTGTGAAATTGTTGAACATGAAATATGATTTTCAAATAAAACGAAAATATGCAAAATAAAACCAAATACCGTGTCTTCATTTAAATTATAATTTTAAAAATTCAATTCTCAAACAAAAAAAAAGTTTATATAAATATACAATACGTTTAGTTTGTCTAAATATGCAAGTTTTTAGACAAAATTTTGTTTTTTTAAAGGCTATCATGAAATAAATTAATAAATCAAATTCAATTAAGAAAGAGTACAAAAGAAAACTGCAAATTTAAGCTGTTCGACACGATGGATGATATCTGGCGTCTGGCCTGCGCACATACATGGTTCTATTATTTTATTTTATTCAACAAATGTAGTGGGTACAGGCTTTTTAAGAGTTGAACACGCTGGAGCTTAGCATTTCATTCTTGTTTAATTATAAAAGTCGCTTACTTGGAAAATCACTAATATCATAACTCCTGTACATATGTAATGAAAATTTTGAATTAATTTAATTTTTTTAAATAATTAAAAAAATGTTTGTTTCTTTTTTGTGGGAATGGGACAGGGTTTTTAACAGTTGAGCCCGCTCATTCTTGTTTAATTATAGAATTCGCTTACTGCGCTTTGTTCCTGACCATCTCTAAGTGTGCGCCTAAAAGCATGCCACAGTGTTTTCCAGCCATAGAAACTTTCAGCTCTCACTGCACACACACACACACAAGCGCGCTCATACATTTATATACGCGTGCATACACTCAAGAGTTGTGAGCTCACTCTTTTATGCAAAATTCAAGGTAAAGCTTTCTTTTAACTTTCTTAGTGCGCTGCTGAACAATTCAGTTAGAAAGATCGGTTCAACGTCTGTTGCCTGCACAGTGAGCGCTCAGTTCATTTGCTGCACTTGCCGTGAATTGTTCTATGGAAAGCAGCAGCGGCGCAAATAAATAGGTGTGTGAGTGTGTGAAGTAAATTGTAGTGCGTTGCAAAAAGAAAAGCGAAGAAAAGAAGTGGAAAAGTTGCAGAAGCACCAACACAGATCGATTGAAACATGGATTATCGTTTACTGTTGGTATGTACAATGCATAATTATGTATGTCGGATAGTTGCACTTTTTGTTGTTGAGTTTGTTGTTCTACAGCTAGTTTGTCGCTTAAGTCATTTGTTTTGCATTGCCGTGAATGGTTGAATGTGTAGGTTTGCTCCATTTTGCGCCTCAGTTACTGTTAAAACAGTTTACTGCAGACATTCTAGAGCATTATCCACAACGGACATATGTATATATGTGTGTACATATAGTATACTCGTATGCATGTACATATGTATGTATGTGTTTGGTATATAGAGCAGAGTATGCCGATGGACATGCTAATGAATTAAAGTGACGGGTCTCGTTGCTGATGGTGCTTGCCACATTCTATAGGCATGTTGATGTGTGTGTGTGTGTGTTTAGTTCTTTCTGGTTATTTGTGTGTGTGCGCTTTTTTTGTTTTTGCTTGGCGCAGAACAACTTTCCCGTTACCTAAAACGTATTTAGAACAAATTCACACAAACGCGCGCTGCTACCCGTACAATAAATAATTTAAGAACATAACTTCCAGCGTCAGTTTTAGTGTGAGGTTCCACACTTTTCTTTCAAAGTGAGCAATTTATTAACTGACTATGCAAATTTCAAGGTATACCTATGCCACATAGATAGTTAATAGCTCTTTACTTATGCCGTAAATCATTCCGTGTATAATGGGGCTGGCTCTTCGTCATTAGAATAAACAAGACGAAAACAAAAAACGAAACACAATTTCACGTTGACCCCATTTCGCAGTTTCGAAATTCAAATTATGCCGTGAATCATGCCACCAAAACGAACGAGAGAATGGCTGTTGTTGTTGCACCCGCATCCAAGCCACTGTACCTGTATCATGGCGTTGAAATTCCAAAGCATCTTGCAGGCAACTGGTTGGAGTTGGAAGGAAAAACAAAATTGCAGCGTGGAAAGCGAGATGAAGAGTCAATTCAATGCCCATCTGACCCGTATCTAATTGTTCAGACATTCCTAAACTTTTGATTTCATTGATAATACAAAAAGGCGAAAGAAAAAAATACTTTTGTATGTATAATAAGTTAGTTGGCACTGTCAGAATTTCGGCTTAGGGAAAGTTTTCATTATTTGTATTACTTCTCAAGTGCTTCGAACAATGGAGGGCTAAATAAATAAAGCAATGCTAGTGGACCAGAAATGCAAAAGTGTGGCTGGCCGGTTGTTTATTTGTTTGTTTATTTTTGTATCGTTAAGCTCGACAACTTTCGCCATGAACGACAACAAAAACAACAACAACAACAACCACTTGAGGTATTTGGGCAATATGAGATGGCGCTTTGTGCCCGCGTGGATGCCACAAAGGTACCATTGATGGTCGTCGCCGTTGTGGTTGTTGTCGGCAATTAATTTAATTCATGTCTGTCTGTTCTTTATGCATATTTATGATTTTTCTTCTTTCTGTGAAACCATAAAAGCGAAACTTTTGGCATAGCTTTTAATGTGACACTCACTTTTTTTGTTTTTGCTTTTAGAAAATACTCAGTTTCCTGCTCTTGGCCTTGGTTAGCTCAGCTCAAGCGCAGCCACCCCAGACGCCAACGGATTATGGCGAGAGTGAGCCGCCCGAGGGCTATTATGCTTTCGTAGAGTCACCAAATGCTGTGCCTCCAAAGGTGCGTCCACCCCCCTACACCTTCGTGAATGTGGACTGCAAGAATGTGGCGCCGGGGAAGAAATCAGCCGTATCGGTGCATAATATCTGTGGGGACCTCAACAAGGGACAAATCCCAAAGAACCCCTTGGGCCAAAGTGTGCTGGGCGAGCCATATCCATTGTAAGTAAAAATAGCATTAATAGGCATACTTCATAATTTCTTAACACGAATATCTTTTATACCTCTTTTCTGTCAGTAGTAACAGTTACTGTTTCGTTTTTAATGTTGACTTAAGAATATTTTAGGCGGTTTTAAATGTTCCGAAAAAATATAGCATATTCAGCTTTTAGACTCTAACCTCTGTGTTAGTGGATGTAATTAATAATATTTAGAAATAGAGCGTGTATCGCTACCCTTTTCATTGCCTTTGCCTTCTAGAGAACCACTTTAACAATCTTATCGAATGATATGATATTCATAAGAATATGGTTCCTTGGAAAACATTTATATCTTTTCGAACTTTCCAAATTAAAGATTACAAAAATAAAACATTTTCGGTCAGAATTTCTTAGAGTTGTGCACATTAAAATTCTTATATAGAACGAATAATGAAGAAATGTGATTATACTTTTCAGTTAAAATTGTAAAATGTAACGCTATATCACACATAAATAATACAGCTTGTGGCTTAATCATATCTTAAAAGTATGAGAGGACATAGCGCTGAAAATTTTGATCATCTTTCAACTCTTGACTTCTGAAAAACTGAACTGATTGTCACTAAAATGACATGTGTACACAACTTCTGGTAGCTCTTGAACGCTTTACAGCAAATATACTTAGTATAGCTGTCAATACTTAGCTGTCAGCATTTAACTGTTTTTCAAATCAGTAAACTAAAGTAAACTCTCGGTTTTATTCCATAGCAATAGCCTAATTAACAGCTAAAGGCAAAAGAGAAACGTTTGGTACTTGTTGAATAGGGGCGAAAGACAAATTTGAGTTTTAAAATGGAACTCCAGGCATAAAACGTAATGTCTTTTTTAATGACCGGAAATGGAAGAAGGTTGTTAACTATTTCCCAGCATTTAGTAACAATATATACATTGTGTATTACCTGGCCAACAATTTACTAGACATTTTTTAGAAGTCCTTAGAAGTGAAGCACTTTTTTAATAAAAAGTATAAGCAATTAACAAAAGTTCATAATAAATATTACGTAGGTGGTTTATTAACTTTTCATCTTTGACAAAAAATTATATGGGTGAAGTATAACCAGATTTCGTTCTAGCTATCGAGGTGATTTTCTGCAACAGTAATTGCCTTTTCATACCCTGTACACGTAGGGTAAAATGGTATTATAGCCTGGTTTGCCTGCGTAGAGTGTATCTCACTGTAGGGCGTTCTCTCTTGTTATTTTATTTAATTTATCAGAAATTTCGCACTTTAAATCTCGATTTGCCATCACTAAGGTACTTAGTATGAGAATCGCAGAGGAGGGCGGCCACAATATTTCTTTATTTTATTTAATTTATCAGTAATTTCACAATTCATATTTATTTAATTTTATTTATCAGTAATTTCACAATTTAAAGCTTAGGTACTTGGTATGAGAATCGCAGATGAGGGTGGTCACAATATTTTTCTTTAATTTAATTTACCACAAATTCAAAAATTTAAATCTCGATTTTCCATCATAATATTTTTACATTTTTCGTAAAATATTTTAAATTTATTTATGTCTTTGTATCTGTAAATTTTCTCAGCAGCTAAGAAGCTTTTAACAGACTAATTTTTGATTTACCTATTTAAAACTTTTATAAAATAACTTTTAGAAACTTTCCAAATCCATTACAATTTGAAAATATTTTCTTTAAGCTTAGATATTTTCAATTGTTTTTCTGAGAAACTAACCTACCTATATGTTCTATACATTAACTTAATTTCTTTTTATATAGCGAGCTGATACGCAATCAAACGCTCAAGTTTCTGTCGAAGACGCTGCCTGTTCTCAAGGCCGATGACACGCTGCCGAAGGTAACGCAAATCATACGTGACGAGCCCGTCGAGCAGCTGGACAACAACAATATTGATCGGCACTATGCGACGCGGGCCAGGCGTGATGTTCCCGATGCCGCACACTCCAATGATTACAGTTACTTTGATCCGGCGCTGGACGAGGAGGAGCGTGGCAAGCGACGCGTCGTCGAGGAACGAAAGCCACGCAAATTCTGCGACGGTGGCGGAGTGTGAGTCAAAAGTTGTAAGGTCAGAGTAAAGTTTGAGAAACTCAGATATGTTTCTCGTTTACAGCTTCTGCACCCTCTACCGAGCCATTCAGGGGGACACGGGTAGTGTCGCGTCTGGTGCACCAGCAGCCGAGCGGCGAGAAGAAATTGGTCCGATACGCTATGAAGGACCCCCAACACCCTGCCCTGCGAAGGTGGAGTATGCCACGCCCGTGTTTGCCAAGAACTATCAGGGTGCCTGGCGCTATGTGGTGCAGATACCCTACGAGGGCTACTTTACACAGACCGTCGAGGTGACACGTTGCATACAGGCGCGCTGTCATTACCTGGACGGCGGCTGTTTGTCCTCGCCCCGCTGGGTATCCCTGCTGGTCGCCGAGATTTTCTATCCCAATGCCGAGGACACGGTGCCCAGCACGACGAGCACACCGGCACCATCGGTGCAAGATTTCCAGGCCTATCAACAGTATCTGCAGAAGCGTGCTGGTGTGGCCACCGCCTCCGATGGCACCTCAGTGAATGGTGGGCCCAACGGCGCCTCCGGCAACGCCGATGCCCATTGCGATGGTCACGACGAGCTCGGTTGCTTCCAAGTGCGTCTGTACTACGATTGGTTCTTGATTCCCGGCTCCTGCAAGTGCTGGCGTCCTGACTATTTTGCCAAATACGTGCGCCGAAAGTCTGTGGCCGATTTGTAAGGCAACGAACTGGGCGCGAGCAATGAACTTAAGGTATACTCATAGAATTTAAAGTGGATCAATGAAATTCCCATTTTAGCAATCTACCAGATGCAATTGTGGTGCTATTGCTTAGAGTTTGAATTTCGTTTATACCTACGCATATATACACACAGGCGGTGGAGGATAGCAAATGTGCAACTCATAATATCCCTACAAAAAGATCTACATATAGTATAAGTGATGAAGAAAACAAAATTCAGATTGAAAGACAATAATTGTTTTATTAGCATGTGAAGTCGATATCAAATAAACCTACAAGAAATTTGAGAAAATCTAAAAACCAATACAGACTATACTCATCAGTAAATTAGATGCTATGCCGACTAAATACAAGTAGACATTCGATTGAATAGGAAAATGTGAACCAAAACTGAATTCATCATGCCAGCAAATTAGGCCGATTATACTAAATTTACAATGTTTACGTATAAACTGATTGAATTAAATTTCTGAATTGAATTGAATTAAATAATCTGATTCAACGTTCCGTTTAATTAGCTATCAAGTGAGTTGCGCTCTTTTGCTATTGAAACCGATAATTCCTTTTATTACTTAAGACTACAGCTATAGTTGTAATGTGTTTATGTATCTCCGACTGAATTGAATTTCTACAAATAAATATTTCTGCTATAATTGAACCACTGTTGTTTTTATTTGGGGTTTTACTAGGCAATGCGCTTGCGGCCTTTGCAGGCACGCGAGTACGACTGCGGCTGCCAGCGCCAGAGTAGTTGTATGCGCTACGAAAACCAGTCTCTCTACCAACCAGTTGCGCATGCGCAAACCAAACCAAAGCAGCAGCAGTGGCAGCCGCCAGAAACAATCAACCGGCGGTCGCAGTCTTCACAACCAGTCCGTTGAGTTTGGGTGTTTATGGTGTGCGAGTGTGATTGCGAGTGCGGGCTCTAAGACTGTCCGTGCACCACGAATTGTTGTTACATAGAAATTAAAAGGTGCAAAATTGTGCAAGCAGGCAGCATAAAGCCTTGACGAACGGCCTCAAAATACATACATACTCGTCTATGCAAACATAAAGCTTAGGCCACATTAGCCAAAGAATTGCGCAAAGACTTCCGCATAAGGCACAGCGAACAAGCAATTAAAATATAAAGTGATACTTTATTTGTAGGGTAATTAAACCATTTCATTTTAAAAGTAGGCTTTTAGTACTTTAACACATTTATTAATGCAATAAAAGAGTAAAATGTTGACTCTAAGAAATGGAAATGAGAAGTAATGCAATCCAAGTGGTTGGCATCTCAAGCCCGTGTTCGTGTCTTGAGTCTTTCGTTGTTGCTTTGTTTATCTCAATGCTGTTTCGTGCGACTACTAATTTGCTTTATTTGACTTATAAATATTCAGATGAGCACAGTTAAAGTTACAAAAATAATAATTTATATGCATTGGAACCATTGAGCGTGGGCGATGGCGTAAACAAAAATTTCAAAGATTTCGCATCACATATATAAACTTTCCATTTTAATTTCTAGACACATTCCCACACAAGAGATGCTGCGTCAGAACAGCAACACTATGCTAACGCTTAATGCCGCAGACATGGCCAATATGAGTGCCTTAAGTGTGGGAGGCAAGGTGGAACATAGTGGAAGCACGTTGGACGCTTTGCCAAAACAGTTTGTGCTGTCGATGAAGAAACTCTTCGATATATTGGATGACAAGCACTGCGGCTTTGTCCGATATGCGGACATTGAGAAGGGCTGGCAGGACGATGGATCCAAGGGCCTGCCGCAGGGTGTGCTGGATTCTTTGCGGCGTGTAACGCCATCCAGTGGTCTGCTTTCATTCGATCGCTTTTGTGCCGGACTCAAGTTATGTCTGCTACGTAACCAGCAGAGTCAGGAGAGGATCGTGAAACCACCGCGTCCGCCATCAGCACCACAGCTAAACAACATGGAGGCTGTGCAGTCAGCCGTAAGCACTGCGCCAACAGCCAAGATCAGACCACGTTCGCAACTCATACAGAGTATGCCGTCTAGCTTGGATTTGGAGCAAGAATTCGCACACGTCTCGGTCAATGACTTTGGCACGTCGGCGCCGCCACCAAAACCACCGCGTCAGCCGCTGGCCAAGGCAGATATTAGACATGCCCTGCAAAACTGGCAGCTTAGTCTGATGTCCGACGAACTGAATGCCAAGTATAAACATTTGAAAACTGCACGCGAACAATTCGAGCATCGAGGTTCAGCCGATGGTGGCTCGTCCTCGACTTCAGCTACGGATTATGCTCTGGGCATGACATTGGGTCTTCCGCCAAAGAAGTCTGCGAACAAGCGACGTGAATCCCGTCGCCATACCTTGCAACATGGAATAGATTACAATATGCTGAAGCGTCTGAAGCAACTGGAGGAGGAACGCGAGTTGCTGCTGTTCGGCCTGGATGGTGTGGAAAAGGCGCGCGACTGGTACATGCAACAGGTCCTCAATGTGCAGGAACAGATTAAGTATTTCGGGCGCCGAGGCACACGTTTTGTAAGTAATTGAAATCAATTTGACGATTCCATTGCTTACACACTCTTCCCATTTGCAGGAACAATGGTCTGAGATACAGCAGGAGCGTTTAAACTTTCAGCGCGCGCGTGTCTTGGAGGTGAATCGCAGCTTGGCCATATTAACAGATACATGGGAGCATGGCGGCTATCCACTGCATATTAATCTGGCCTTTGCCACGCCTACGAAAGCACAGCAGCATTTCAAGCATTACACGTCCAGCCTGGGCAGCAATGATGTGAAGCCACGAAAATTTAACGATTCACTAACCATGCACGATGACGAGCGTTTCGATCTGATTGGGCAGGAACTCTATGAGCTGCAACAACAACAACAGCAACAGCAACAACATCAGCAACAATTCCACAGTCTGCGGGCCAAGCGTCAAATGTCCGAGTTTGTGCTTAGCCAGCCATCGCCAGTAAGCCAATCGTCTGCCGGTTTGGGAGATGCCGACGTTGTTTATTGAATCTGACTGATGTACCTACTATATAAGCAATTTGTAAATATTGTGTTAGATGGTTCAACAATTTATTTATAATTAAGAAATATCTATCGAATAGTAAGCAATATGTATGTTACTGCGGGTTCGGAAATCTTCGAAGGTATTTGTTTAACTGTCTGTAGTTCAAATTATTTCCTGGTTGCACAATGCCCTGATTGATGGTCTTTTTTGCCTCGAACTTGCGATCCATATAGAATTTGTAGCATTTCTGAAACTGGGTAATCTCTTTGTTGCAATACTGCTCTACAAACTCGTTGTCCTTCAGGCAGGCAAACAGCACGCCCATCTCTTGCAGGCAGGCCACATCGCTGCCGGAATCGGCCTTACCGCTCACAGTATTTTTCAATCGCAGTGGTAAAATTTCCTGAAAGGGTACATCCTTCTCGCTTTGAGGCGAACGGCCGCGAGCATAAAGAGCACCTGGTACACGCATCTAAGATGATTTTCATTGTATTACAAATAGTCCAAATAGTTAATTTATTTCATAATCTTACCTTTTTATTCTATTTTATAAATGCGCTTCAATTGCAGCTGATTGTTAAATAAGCGTCAAAGTTGTGTCGATGTATCTCATTTGATTTTGGAACACTGGAATAGGAACAAGTTCTATTCAATTTGGTATTTCAATATGAAAGGCTGCACACGTATATGATTGCATATTAACTATGATTTTATGAATTACGTGAAGCTTACAACTTACAATATCTTACATATTTTTAAAAGATATTTTCCTGAATTTAGTCAATTTCCTCATTCCCACTTTGTCCTGGTATACAATAGTTCTTCGCAAGAGCTGCCGTATCTTGTAAAACAGGGGCACGATTGGCATGTAGCAGTGAGGTGGCAGCTCTGACACGGAGATATAAAAAAAGACAGCATGATTAAAATTTGGATAATGAAATTGTCGCCGCTGATAATCGATTTGGACAAATTTAAATTGTAGTTGAAATATATAAGTGGCAAGAATATAGAATGCTTAAGCTGATTTGCTGGTTGCTGATATTGCTTTTTAAAATAATGTAATTCCTATTTTATTCGATAATTAATTAACATCACTTGATGATTTTCTATCAAGGGACAGATATTAAAATCATTTTTAAATACAATGGTTTTACAGATAACATTTATTTAAATGTATAATGAACTAATTAATTTAACGAATTGTCAGTTAGGTCGACGGTTGTGATGTCAGTAATAACCTCCTCCTCTTGATTTGGCTTCACATTCTCCGACTCCTTCGAATTTACGACCCCACTCTCTACAAATTCTACATCACTACCTGGCTCAGCTTCAGCATTGCTGTCATCCAGTGATATGCAACTGTTTCTGCAGCTTTCAACGTCGCTGCTTTTTTCAGACGAATCAGAAACGCTACCTGTTGAACTGACGTCAATGGTGAATAGTTCCCCATCGCTTTCGGATGTGGATGGTATTATCAACGGCTCAGTCGGTTCTTCGGCCTCCGACATGAGTTCCCTCATAATATCACTTATTGGTGAGGCAGGTACATCATTGTTTGCTTCGTCCTGGGTGCAAGTCCTATCAGTTGTTGCGGCCTGGGTATATAAAGCTTGACCGTATGCCATGGCTACGGCTAGGGCCATATTGTTTGAATGTCGCACATAATAATTCTGAACTGTGTTGGATTCTTCTATCTGAGAACTGTCAGGAGCATCCTCCTGGTGGCTTTTACTGCGCCGCCGTTGCTTCAGATCCCTGTCCTTGTCCTTCGTGTGCTTTTTGCGCTTCTTTTTGCATTTTTTCTTGCGTGATCGGCTTCGACTTCGGCAGGGACTAGGTGAGTTGCTAGAGCTACGTCTACTACGGCTGCGTTGCCTCCTCTTGTGGCGCCTTTGAATTCGCCGCTTATCGTGGTCACCACTTCCATTAAAGTAGGAATTAGTTTTACGTCTTTGTTTTCTATCATCCAACTCTTGCAACTTTTGTTGGCAATTAGCCTGGGTACGTTCAACCTCGCGTTTGTTATGGCGCAGAGCCGTGTTGATGGTGCGGCCAAGAAAGAGCTTGTTTGTTTTGCGTAGTGGATTTATTTTGCGTTCTTGTATCTGTGTTGAAGCAGTGGCATCAGTCTGTCCTTGCATTTCTCGCATAAGCTCCGCAATGGCTTTGCTAAATATAGGATTTAGAATAAGTAGCTGGTCTCACCAATAAAGATTTTGCTATTTTTACCTTGTAAGAGCCCCTTCGTCCATTTTTCACACTCAACTTCACTTTAACATAAACTTGTTTATGAACAGCTGAGAGCTGTGCGCTTCAGTGATGCCACTACGTTATGGCATCCCACTCAAATACACACTGGCAATGCCGTTTCAATGGCAACACTGGTTCCGTTGGCTTCAATTAATTCGGCGGCAAGTAAGAAAATAAATTATCATTTGTAGAGGTATGCAGATTTTGTTTATTTAAAAATATATATCACAGACATGTATATTATTTATAATCACATTTGGCTAACTAAAGGTTGCCATTTATCACATTTTGTATCCATTGCACATACTTGCTGACTCGTGTGTAAATGCCTGGCAGACCAGGCCGGGCGCAGCCTATTCCAGTCGACACGACTCCTAATAAATGGTGTTCCTTTGACATCAGAGGGCCGCCAGAATCAGCCTATAATTCAAAGAATACGTGTTCCGTGAAACTAGTGTTCTATTCTTTTGGTTTGCTACCCACCCAACACGAATCAATTCGACCATTTTCATATCCCGCGCACAATTGTGAGTCGCTTATTGTGTTAGACTTTCCAAGTGCATGATACGAGCGCTCGCAGGCTTCGTTATCCCATATTTTGACCGTTGCCTTACGCAGCACATCAGCGCGTTCGCCCTCCGCCTGATTCTCCTGAGTCCAGCCCCAGCCGGATACAGTGGCATACTCATGCTCCAAGTTGCGTGGCCCTTTCTCGGAACTCACACAGCTGGGCTGTATGTGTGGCGTGAAACTAATCGGCGACGCCAGCTCTAGCAGTGCTAAAGAGTAATTTAAAATAATAGTAAATGCTAGAACTGTGCATCTTTTAAAGTACAATTTAAATACCTATGTCATGTTTGACATTGTTGCAGGCATAATTTGGATGAGGCACAATGTTCTTGAAATCCACGCGCAATGCCTGCCGATCCACGTCTATGTCATTCAGATACTCCCTGATGCTGTGAAGTCCCACAACACCTTGTATTTGGCCGGCTTTCATAATTTTCTGTAATCCATTGCAGATGCAGTGACCGGCGGTCAGAATCCAGCGCTCATGTATAATTGTGCCGCCACAAAAGTGACCGCCTCGTCGCGTCAGGCTGACCATAAAGGGCATTTCGTTGCGTTCTGCTTCACTGCCGCCCACAATTTTTGGAATTCTTGTTGTGCACGGTAAGTTTGTGACTGTGTTGAGATGGGAGTATGACTTAAGTAAGCTGAATAAAGACGTTAATCTTAAACCAAACTGGAGTTGTGCTCTAACTTTGCAACTCATTCTGATATAAATACATACAAATTTATGTACATCTGTCTATCTGCCTTTTAATCAATTAACTATTACTATACAAATACTATATTTAAATACAAAAAGCTTCTTCTGTCTATCTGCCTTTTAATCAATTAACTATTACTATACAAATACTATATTTAAATACAAAAAGCTTCTTAAGTTATAGTCGGGTTTTGAGAGTAATCGTGTAATGCTTTTTGAATTCAAACATGTTTTTTTTAATTGATGTCGTATAATTTTGAACTTCACATTGTTTTTCTTTTTAAATTCGAATAATTTTGAATGTATTTTTATATCTTATTGAATTACAGATGATCTTGAAGAGAGACGCTCAGAATACGGTAAGTTTGCACTTACAAGCAATTTGCGCCTGCGCGTGTTTTAAAATAAGCACCAATACCAATATTAACTTGAACATTTTTGAAAATTCTAAACACACGCGCCTGCAACGCAGCCGTTACGAAACTTTTCAACGAACTACCTTAAACATTCTGTGAGCCAATTAATTTATATATGTCAGTCAGACTGCCAATTTCAGTGCTGGTGCTGTTCTATCCGGATTAGTGAGCTTTTTGTTCGCTGATAAGATGGCCAAGCATTCAAGCCGTATTCGTACTCGTGGCCGGACGGAAGTCAGCACCTGTTGCCTAAGCTTTGAGCTTTTCATTGTTGTACTCTATACGAGTTGATGTTTGTACTTACTTGACGCTTGGCGCTGCACCTCGTCACCCATGTGCACAACTCACGTTTTAGCATTTCAATGGACTGTTGTATGTACGAGTGCACACATACGAGTATGTCTGTCTATTTGTCTGTCTCTCGGCCAGTGGGTGTCTGGGTTAATGTGCTGCACAACAATTAAGGAGCTGCCGAAAAATTAAAAATAACGAAACGTAAACAAAAACCGAAATAGTTGTTCGTCGTTGCGTTTTATGACCCAATGAAGTTCATGACATTGAATGTACATAGGTGTGACAATATTTGAGTGTGAATTTGTTGTATTTCATCGGGTTTATTGGCCCATTATCCTTATTTACAATTGCGTTATTATTGAATCGTTTGTGACATAATGCACAACTACAAGTATTTGCGTATTTGATGAGACATACGAGTACTATAGTATACTTGTATATATGAATATGCGAACATATTTTCGATAAAAGAAATCTTCAGTTAATCACATTTCAGTAATAATTTAAATATCTAACACCCTATTACTCTTTAGTAGATTAACTTATCTTTTTAGAACTTCTGGTTTGTGAAATGAATTGAAATAATTTAACGACTATTAACGATAATTCGTTAAACAGGAATTAACTTACCCTTGACATACATACTACAATATATAGGCTACATTAAGTAGTCTGCATTGCTTATCTCTGAATATTTATATTTGTTGTAAAAAACCTTAAACATTACACCTTCACCAACATTTCCACTTATCGTAGATTCTATGCAAATTAACAATACAGTTATGAATATTAATTGACATGCCATGCTTTATACAATGTAATTGAAATTCAATGCTGATACGAGCAGACGTTACCCGTGTAATGTTCAAAATGTACAGTCTGTCTGGTTTGACATTAACATTGCCCTTAAAATCATTTACAAAGTCAATTGTTGATGGTCAATAGTTAGACGAAGGCGCCACATTCACATGAAAATGCAGGTGGAAGTGCATTGGAATATTAATGGAGCATATTGGAAGAGTGTGTGATGGAATAGTTAACTGATATTTCTACTATCCATATTGAGGAACTGAATGAAACCCAACAAAAATATAACAATACCCCTTATAGACCATTAACTACTTTATTCAATTCTGACTAGTTTGACAGCTGTCTCACATGACTTAATTATTTCAAAATTGGCGAACCGAAAACCAGAAATGAATTACTACTACCTCCCAAGAATTTTAAGTTCATTGATCGCGGCAGTTTTGCGTCTCTGGTGGCTTATCGGACTAAATGCTAATTCAAAACAAATTTGCCAAATTCACAACAAATTGGCTATAAAAATGAGTAACCATTGTCTGTTGACAACTACAAAATACGACTCTACTCCAAAAACAAATAATAACAAACATGAGTTGTCAAACGCCTCGGTGCATTGACACCCACCCGAGCGCAAATTTCAGTCACTATGCTTTGGCTTGAACGCATTCAATGTGAAGGTCGTGGGGCGCTTATGCACACCTACATATGTACATATATACTCGTACTATATACTCGTATGAGGAACTCGTGTTGGGGTTTGAGCGTTATTATAGACTAAAAAGTTCGACGACATAAACAATTTTTGGCTGACTAATTGCTAGTGTAGTTGACTTTGGCCAATGCGGGTGGCGTGTGGGAATTACTCGTACGAGTATGCGACTGTAAGTAGGAATTGTAAAGGGCTACGAACCAATAAATAGTTTAATCACTTACCGTAATGTTAATAGCTAATCCATACTAAGGTAGAGTAATATAGGCATTTATAATAAACTGTGCTCCGGTTTCCTTAAAGCTCTTAGTTGAAAAATTATTGTTACACTTTTTTTTTTATAGCTGCCCAAAAATAGTTTGCATAATTTTGACAAATGGGCCAATGAAATTGCTTGTCCATATTAACATTTTGTATCTAATACGGAATTGTTTCTCATACGTAGTTACCCTAATACAAAGTTCTGATTATTTTTTTTATATTTTGCTTCCCAAAGAAAAAAGGGTTCAGTTCAGTTTTTGCAGACACCACAATGTACGTACACATACGCTGTATTGGGAAGGGAAACCAAGTGCTTTTCGACTTGTCCGGCCCTCCGTCTATCTGTCTTGGTATCCCCCTAAGTCTGGGAGAACACTAATTTTTGAATATTTTCCATGCTGTAAGGAAGTTATACGCGGAAGTGGAATCTGTGCCGACAGCTAAATTTCTGTGTAAATTGAAGTTAAAATAAAGCTTAAATTGAAAGTACAGTATACTTGAACTATACTTTCACCCGCCACTCGTTTCGTTCAACTCATTTTACTTACAAAAATGTTGCTTCAAATATAAAAAATATAACTTTAGGTAATGTATTAACTTCATGCGAAGATGCCTCCAAAGACTGCATTTCAAAGACCAGATTGTGGTGAGCGATATTATACTTATCCACCAACACAGAATTTATTTATTGTCGTACAGAAAAAACCAACATATCATTTTTGATTATGAAAATGAAACACATATTGCTTTAAATACTTGCACGTAGATTTTAATATTTTTACCATTAATTTATTAACACAAAAAAAGCACAATTCAGCTTCAATTTTGATATTAAAATATTGTATATGAAGTGTGACGATATTTAATCATAATTGTTGACGTGGAGCTGGGTTTCATTTTCTATAATAATAAAATATGTTTCCCACTTTTTTGTCTACTCTACGAATATTATTAATAATTTGTTTTTATAAATATTGTCGTGTTCCTTTATTTGTAACTTAGATTAATATTGATATTAAAAGTCAGGAATACATAAATGATTGAATGCACTTATTTGACACATAGTTAGCGACCATATATGTCAAGTGCTAACATCTTGTAACCGCTGAAAACCGAATTGGGAAATCTAATCAAATTTTTTCTCTATAACATTTCAAAGTGTATATATTCTTGATCAATTTAATAATAATATAAAATATCTCGGAAAGTATAAGAGCTTAGCTCTAGTAACAGAACTTGGCCCCCAAGTTCACCTCGGTGCGAGAAAGGACAAGCTTATGGGGTTTTTTTATTGCGTACAGTACAAAATATTTTTTTTCATTATAGAAAAATTTACCTTAAAAAGCTTTATTGTTTTTTCAAGTGTAAGGGTATATAAGAAAGAACCTGCCTTTGCTTTAGTCTTTTTAACTTATGAAAATACTGTACGCGGAACTCCATTGTTCTGTCTATTTATATAAGATCTATAATCTCGATCTAAGATTTACATAATTCATTAGAGTTCTAAAAGAATTGTTGAAAACAAAATTTAAGCAACCGGTGTCAATTAAGTAGGAAGACTTGATTCAGCCATAATTGCTTCTTGCAATTCTTGATAATTTGACAAACATCTTCAAGCAACTAATTAGAACTTCATCAACCTTAGCGTATATTTTTTTCTAAACCAAAATATAAATGTATACGATTATTTAATGTGTTTATGCCAATTACTTGTTTTCTTACTGTAATTCTTTTTATATTTTGTTCAACCTGTGACCCTGGGTGTACTTTATCCATTTTATTAAACTACAAACGGACAATTTACATAGTACATCCGATCAGCATAAGGAGAAACTCGAACTACTTGTAGAAATGGTTCTATATTCGATTGTCTGTAAGCCGAAAGTATATAAACTGGTATAGTCAAGTCTGTTTTATAGGGTCTTTTAGGTATAGTTGTTTTAATAAGAAGTTTAGGCGATAAAAAAAAATAATTTTGAAATGGTTTTTGGATCAAATTAATAAATAAAATAAATAAATATAATCATATTTCTTCTAAAAGCCCAAATGCGCTGAAAAACAATGTTACACAACAATTAATTCAAATAAATAATTCTTCTTTATATATTTTATTTTATTTTATTTTTTGAACTCAACAAAATGGGGTTTTGATACAATTTACAATATTTATATAACAAACGAGAAGTAATATAATGTTTGTTACCCCAAGTCCCTATTGGGCTTATAACCGTTTCTATCTAATTATTTTTTGAGTTTTTAAAATCTAATCCAGAAAAAGTCGTAAAAAAAAGGCATTGATCATAAGTTATTATAAATCGTGCTAATTGAAATAATCTCGTATAATATATATAAAATTTTCAATTTTCAAACCGTTTTAAATCAAAACCGTGTAAAAAAAGAACTAGACTTATAGATATTTGAATAATATCTTTTTACGACTTCTACTCACTGAATATTTGATCGCCTCAAAGACGCAAAGAGAAGTAGATACAACTTTGGCAAAAGAAATAAATATTAAATAAGTACCAAAATAAAGAAGTACATTTAATAGAATTTCTAAATGATCTACTTTAGAATAATTATATTTTATTTCATAAATAAATACTTACCTTCCATAATGTTTTTACTTTTTGCTGTTAGGCTCACTTATTTGGTTTCAATTATTGCTCGAAAGCCAGCTTCAGTACAATAAGGGCTTTCTGAGCAACAATCAAAATTATATAAGTGTCCAGCAGGTATACTCTGGGCTGTGTGTTAAAGGCACTTAGACACTTGAAACTTGCACTTCACAGCTTGGCTGCACACTTTTCCTGCACTTGTGATTTTATTTTGCCGGCCAACACGTCTGCACGGTGTGAGTGCCGCATCAGGACTGCATTTGCTGTGCGAAAACGTTGTAATGTTGAATCCTGTGATCTTTTAGCTCCGTGCTGTAATAAATGTTACAAG